GTTGATTGCTTTTTTGGTTGGATATCAGATGTACATATTTGGAGTCGGCAGTAGCGATCCAGTCTCATTGTGTTTAAGATTTTTTTATAATATCAAGTGATGAGGCGAACAAGTCGGGCGCCTGGTGGTAAGCTATGCGCCTGTTAATAACAGTTCCAGTGCCATTCAGAGCTTTAAATCGCAAAGATCTGAGGGGCGCTGCCACTGCACCCGTCACCGTGAGACATTAGTTGACAAGTCTCATGACCCTGTAATTTCACCAGCACCCTTAACCCTTCAAAACAAGAACACAGTAATGCTGACATTAGTGCTTGGCGGCAGAAATAGGTAAGGTGGCAGTACTTCCCAGGACGAACTCTTTCACAAGGAGCTCTATTGCTACTAAAAGTACTAGGTAAGCTGCAGCAGACATAAGTAACTAAGTGATTATTGCCTTTACCACGAAGTTGTCGCTAGCTACCGCGTAAACTATTTCACAATTTTGTGTGGAAAATTATATAGCGGCCCTAGCGGTTACAAGGCGAAACAACACTTTGTATACAAACATTTTACGTAGTCGCTAGCGCTAACTGTCACTGTAATCTCGTGGTAGAGGCAGTAAACATTACTTTAACTTCAAAGGGACAGGGCAATAATTATCATTGCTCAGTAGAAATTAATTCATGAGTTAGTTAATGTACGCCTGTATATTTAGGTGGAATTTTGTTAACAACTTTTTGTGTAAATAAATATGTAAAAGTACGGTGGTTCATGTTTTAGGGGTCTTATTTTCCATTATCATTAAGGTTAATGTTTGTGCCCGTCATTCTATACTAAAGGTATTAATAGTTAACACACACTCATTAGGTTAAAACATACGAAATATAACATACAAGCCTCGATTATGTCGATTATGTACATGTTACGACCTTTCCAACTTTTATTAGTATTACATTAATTCGATTCAATATTTAAAATATAGTCATGCCGTATCTTCATTCAACTAACTCTAAAACTTTGGATTATATGTTTATTACAAATTCGAAACCATAACAAAATTCCAGAGACTGTCAGGCCGCTGTTTACAACTGCTTTATTAGCCTGCCAGTTTCCACGAATGTCGGGCCGTAACAACCGTGGTGTTCCGAAAAAGAGTGTAATTATATTGTTTTTTCTTATAAAACATACATAAGGGTGGTTGGCAGTTGGGCTGGCGGAAAAGTCTGGCGGTTGGCCAGACGTAATGGCCCGACTTGCTCGCGATTATTTCGACTAGATAAATTTTGCGCTCCTTAAAATGTAAGGACGTGCAAAGTGTGGATGGGCCCGGTTTCTTGGTGAGTTACGAGGTCGTATGTGAAGTCACCTATTGTCCCTTGGAGACTTTAGAAAGTGGTGCATATTTGAGGCGAAAAGATAGCTCTGAGTTAAAAATCACTACGTTGAATATTTGAAACAATGATTAATAATAATTATGAAATGAAATAAAATTATTTATGTGTAACAAAGTTATATGTTACAATTTAGAAGTTACTTCATTCAACATTTATAAAAACGAATATTACATTAATTACGCCACATTACATACCAAGTCAGTGTTTACGTCATTCAAAATTGATGATGTTGATAATGTATGGTTTAATGTAAGAAAAAAAGAAAAAGTCAAATTCTCAAAAATAATACATATCTAGTTACAAGAAAACACAACTAGTAAAAAAAATAAATTAGGATATATATTGATATACAAAAAACATTTATGAGCTGTGGAAAAAAAGATAGGTAACTATAAATTATAAAATAGTAAATTTTTATACAGCAAATGTTTTACGTAATTATATTGTCGGGGTGAATACGGAATGCGTTGAGTTAGCTTTTACTACTTGTAATGAAGACTGAAAATGTATACTGCTTCATTGTTCAGAAGTTTCTTTTTGGGTAGCTAACAACCTAACTAGACACAGTACTGCGTCAGTGAACATTAAGAAAAACAGGCGACTTAACTGTGAGTTATATATTATATGAATCATTTCGAGTTATTTTACTTTATATATATTCAGACAGGTTTAGGTTAAAATGAGTCAAAATAAATGGTCGTGTTATTAATGACTGATTGATTTTTGATTATGATTTTTTATGATGATGATATGATTATGACACACCTGTCGCAACTGTGCCAATCAGAGCTTTAAATCGCCAAAATCTGATGGGTCTTGCCACTGTGTCCGACATTGTCACCCTAAGGGATAAGTCGACAAGCCTCGTGTTCCTGAAATTTCACCAGTACCTTAAAACGTGAACACTAACGAGGGCAGAAGACGAAAAATTTTTATCAGGTTTGTAGCTAGGAGGTTCTGATCTCTGTCTACCCCAGTGAGAGATAGGCGTGATGGTATGCGTGAAGTTTCAATGTTTCGAGTAGTGAGAAAAAATTTAAGCATTTTGCATTACTGGATGAGCCATAAATGTTGTTGTAGGCTTCTCTTGATTTTGAGTAATAGCTTAAGGTTATAAAAGGAAGAGTTAATTTCCTTTGTGAACTAAGAAAAACTTTCCTACCTTTCTCGGTCTAACTTCTTACTGTTTAATAAAGTTCGCCAACTCACATGGGAGGTCGGGAGCAGTCGTGTCCTTAATACGGTTGGTTAATGTCCGCTGGCCTGACGCCAAACACCCTGATAATTTACCATCGACCCGCTGCATTCAAATTTAGAGCCTATTTCTTTTCGCATTGGGATTCCGAACGAGTTTTCCGCGCGAGAAAACACGTTAATGGATGTAAATTTTGGACCTTCAAAACTGAGGCACTATAGCAGTAAAGTGGTTTTTTACATTATGCTTTTTGGAGTTCATCTAGTGGTATTTCTCCACTCTTGCAAAGATTAGCTAGTAAGTACCAAGTAAGCTTTAGTGTAAACAGCGTTTTAATCTTTGAGAAAGAGAAATCGCAAAACATCTACAGGTATTATGATGATTGAAATCACTTATAACTACTATATATTTTTTTAAATAAGTAACCTATCTACTAACCCATCGTATTAGCTTTTATAATTTGCCGGATATTTTGGAACGGTGCCACGTTCCATGGATCACGGATTGGATGTGGTTAAAAAACAAGTCGTTCGGTGGTAAGAAAGCTGAAACTAGAGATAATCACATACTGATGTTTATTAATCACCATACAATATTTTTCTAGGCATTAGGTATCATTCAAACACTCGATTTTTTTAAATTGGTGAGTTAAATTTTTACCATAATATATTTTTTTCGAATAATATTCGTTTTGAGTGCGGTCTCAATACACTCCTAATAACGAAAGGAGCGGAAGCGGGTAGCTGGGGTGGTTCCTTGTACAAATCAAAATCAATCGGAAGGTCATTTAGTCGTACGCGCATTCTAGGCATAGTATAATAAGGGCAAGTAGGGCAACTCCCTCCTGCTCGGCGCGTAAGTGCCTGGGTTTTACGGGATGTAGGGTTGTTATATTATTAGTTTAGTTGTACAAGTTGTAAACGTTATTAGAAAAATAAAGTGTTCAATGTACTCTCGTGCTATATTGAAATAACCTTCGTTAAATGCAGTAGGTACTTACGTATTGATATTTTTATATCAACATCGCGAATAGAAACTTTGATTAAAGTGTCAGTCATTCTATATTAAATTTCCATAATTATTGTAAGTAGGTCTAAGTTGTGTTAAATTTAGAGTTAAGGATTATGTTATAACGTTTATTACGGAAGACGAATGTTGGTACTCGTATAATAACTAATAAACGCTGTTGATTGTTTAAGGTTTCGCTGTACCACAAAGCTGTCCATTTAAGCGTAATACCAGTAATTCTAAGACGATTTGGGAACTCAAAGGATACAGACAAAGATTTAGAGAATACAGTAAAGCATATATTAAAGAAGTATACAATGGTGATTTGTACATAACATCGTAATCTGTCCTTAGGCACTGTTGAATTGTATACTTGTAAGTTTGTTATTGACCTTCGTCGTGTTATGGCTTTAAAAAAGCAAATTTTTTTTGTAATACAAAGGTTCTTTATCAACAAACTTCAGCAGCAAATGTGAAAGAGATGGTCGATTGTGTACTTTTATTTGTTCGTCATCTGGTTTAAAGCCTTGTGCCTTTTAATTACTGGACATTGTCAAAAGTTATTCATATTAGAATTAATTGCGACCGTGCTGCGTCGTAGTTCTAATTATTGTTTATGTGTTGATAACGCGCCGTCACCGCTCGGGCGTCGCAACGCCGGCAACGCAACGCATCATGTGACATCACTCTAAGTGCCAGTCCACACGGCGCGTTGCGTTGCGTTGCGTCGACGCAGCGCTACCGCTGCGTTGTTTTACATACAAATAACCAAGGTGTTCACACGGTGCGCTGCGTCCTCGCAACGCACACATGACGGACAGCAGCCCCCGAGACGAAGCGGGAGGGGGTGTACTCGTGCGACGTCGGAGCGCCAGCGCTCAGTTGCTTGTGCGTTGACAGAGAGGATACACGGAAGCTCATTTCGTTTTACGTTTACGTTTTTGTATTTAGTTTTATTTGCAGGGTAAAATGAATGCCATTGAAGAACTTGACATAGATTACTTGATTACATTGATACAGGAAAGGGAAATTATATGGGACAAGTCAAACGTAGATTTTAAAAATAAAAATTTAAAAACAAAAGCCTGGGAAGACATATCAAAAGTTTTATTTCCTGATTACGAGAATTTCACAGCTGAACGAAAAAACAAAGTTGGTGAGCTTACAGTACAGATATTTATGTTTTTTTTTTATTTAAGAGGGCTTTCAAGATTTTCTTGCACCGCCAATTCCGCGATCAGTACAAAATTAATATCTCTACACTCTAAAATTTTAAAACTACGGGATTCTAGATTAGCGTGAGTACTATTTTATTACTTAGCTCAAAACTAACCTAGACTACGCTGAGTAGGTATAAAATATTATTTTTTTACTGATCGCGGAATTGGCGGTGCAAGAAAATCTTGAAAACCCTCATAATACAATTATACCTTATTTAGCTGCCAAGGCAGAGTTCCTCTAGTCATAAAATAGGTCGCATATTGCTGTCTTATGACATTCGGTGCTGTCTGTTCTTCATGTGCGGGTTGTATTGGGAGAAATTCATCAACACTTATAGCAAATTTATCTCTTTGTCTAAAACCATCTCGATCAGCGACAAAATTGTGTAATACACAACATGCTTTTATAATGTCAGTAGCGAAGTCATAGGACACGTCTATCGGTCTGTGAAAAATGCGCCATTTGTTAGCCATAATCCCAAAAGCGCATTCGACATATCTTCTGGCTCTGCTTAGACGGTAATTGAAAACCTTTTGTTGTAAGTCGAGATTTTGACCGCCATATGGACGCATAATATGTTTGCTCAGTCCAAAAGCTTCGTCACCCACAAATACATACGGGGTTGGTATATTGCTACCAGAGAGTGGCTGGGGTTGAGGTAGTGGTAAGTTGTTGTTAATCATTAGCTCGTACAGTTTAGAATTTTGTAATATGGTTGAATCGCATTCTTTTCCGTATGCACCGATGTCGACAAATACGAATTTGTAATTTGAATCCACAATAGCTAGCAACACAATCGAAAAAAAGGCTTTATAATTAAAAAAAAGTGAGCCACTATTTGCAGGATTACACACGCGGATGTGTTTGCCGTCGATGGCACCAACACAGTGAGGAAAATTTGCCTTTACATCAAAACCCCTCGCTATTGTTTGGAAACTTTCAGTTGTCAGTTCAGGGATGTTGTCTCGAAGAAGATTGGTCCATATAGCACGACAAACTCTTTGTATTATATATGCAATAGTAGATTTTCCCCGTTTGAATTTGAAATGTAAATCAGTTATTGAATTTCCACTTCCTAGGTATCTGAAACGAAAATAATTATTATAATATGCATTTATGAGATAGATAGATACCCGAAAAAAAATACTGACATATTCAGA